TAGGGGCATGCAGCGGAAAGGGGGAGATGTCACGCGGACCCTTAGTGGCCTAGTAGATGGAAGGAAGTACACTTTAATTGTCTCATATTTTGATCTCATATGTTTCATCTGTAATGTGATAACTTGGCTAAAATTGTATTTTGGGTAATAACTTTAATTTTAATAATAATTTATTTATTTGTTCCGACTATAATTCCAAAACCCCGACTCTGCCCAGATATTTTGGCCATGCCATGTGGTAACCCTCTTCTGGCCGCACCGTCGGGTAGTAAGTGCCAAATTCTCTTGGGGCGGGATTCGAAGCCGTGCAGATCACGGCGACTAGTTAGTAGAACCACAGCATCTTCAACTACGTCCATCACCGCGCTGCCTAGGGATAATGATTAAGTAGAACTAGAAGGTCTAGGACAAAAAGATTTATACACTCCTCGTTCATATTATCCATAGGATTCAAGAGAGCATTTTCTTTACCGTTCTGGAAATATAGTATTATTCTGCGTTAGTACGCTATATGTGTCATGTTACAGCTCCAGAACAGCTGTTGAAGAAAAAAAGTATGTTTGAGCTTTGGCAGTTTATTTGAAAAACCCTTGTGTGAAAAAATCTAGGCGTGGAAAAAAATCATCTAATTTTTATGAAAGTTCGCGGATTTACGTGAAATGATAACAGCGCTCAGCAATTTCTGTTAAAACTTGTTGCAAAATAGCTTCAGGTAATAAACTTAAAGTCTCAAAGCTAAATACTTTACAGATTTAATTCCGGTGGTTAAAATGGCCATGAGAATTTGTAGTTTTACAAACCGTTTTTCTCGAATGCTACCACATTTCAATATACATTTTGACATAACGGTTATAACCATGGTAATAACGAATTTTTAGAAGCCAGCTGATTTTCGAAAAAATTCTTGATCCTGTACCTTGAAAGGAAATACAACCGGACTTATGGTCATATGAACTTTTAATAAGTAATATCATAAGGGCACCTATTTTTTCCGAAATAAATCGGAAAAACACGTTGCCAAGTAATATTTTGGCAACAAAAATCCGAGTCAAAATCGAACACCTGCACGTATGTTTTTTGTTAAAAATATTACTTTGAATTGTGTTTTTTCGATTTTTTTCTCGGAAAAAAATTAGATGCCCGAATGGTATTTGACTATTTCATGAGTAACATATTATTTTGCATACACGTACTACCTATGCCGCTGGCGAGATGTTCTCCGCTGCCGCTGACTCTTATCAGAGATAAGGTACAGTACTGCAGGCACTCAAAGGCACAAATTAGTAAAACGTGATTTAGATGGTAAAAAACAAGTATCCAGAAAAGGATGCCAGTCTTGTACTAAAGAGGGAATCCGTACCCAAACGATTTATGATTGTAAAACATGCCCTGATGGTCCACGATTCTGCTTGGAGTGCAGTGACATTATTCACAAATAATTTTTTGCTCTAAAAATAGTCTGCATTCACCACAATTCATGTTTGTATTCTAAAAAAGATGTTTCATTTCTTATTTTTGATCAGATTTTATCACATTAGGTGTATTATTTACCAGAAAAGCTTTTGTTATTCTTTTATATGTTCTCTACTATTTTGAGTTACTAAAATTATTTTTAATATTTTATTTTTGTTAACGGTCGATAATGAATGTTTTTTTTGCTATTAGTTTATTTCTATTATAAAAAACAAGTAATTATCTTTCGACTCTTATAAGCGCCAGCTGGTACACAGTGCTCTTAGAAGAGCCACAAAAAATCTTCAAATTAAAAAAAAAATTACGAAAATACCTCAATAACTGATCTTACGAAGTTTTACTACCAAAATAACAAATTAACCATTTTACAACTAACTGGCTCCTGGGTAAAACCAACCGAAAAAAGGTGGCAGTCAACATAGGTATTGTTTGAAGTACCTGCGAATTCTTTCGTTTCGCTTAACGAGCTTCCCTACTAGACTTAAAGAAAATATCTTTAAATAGATCAAAAATTATTTTCTTCATAAAATACACCTCTTTCACTTTTTTGCAACCGTATTCAACATTGTATTCACAACTAGTTCTTTGTCATTTTCACCGTTTTATTTCTTCGTATTCCACACCCAATCTTTCAGGATTAGGTTTAGTTGTTCTAAACTTGTAGTTTTCAAATAAGCTCGTATTGTCTTCACAACTAGTTCTTTGTCATTTTCACCGTTTGATTTCTTCGTATTCCACACCCAATCTTTCAGGATTAGGTTTAGTTGTTCTAAACTTGTAGTTTTCAAATAAGCTCGTATTGCTTTGCCTTGCAGAATTCCGTAAATTGTTTCCATATTGACGTATGGGTTTTAACGGTATTGTACTACATGTTTATCAATCGCCAGATCAATTTTAGTCAAAGAATCCCTTCCAAAGGAACTCATTTTCACTACATAAGCTGACTAGCACTGTTTAAAAACAATATATTTATGCAGAATAATGTGTTACTCATGAAATAGTCTTGTCAAATACCATTCGGGCATCTAATTTTTTTCTGTGAAAAAAATCGCAAAAACACAATGCAAAGTAATATTTTTTTAACATCATCAACACTCATGCTTCTTGATAAAATATTACTCAGCAACGTGTTTTTTAGATTATGATATTATTTATGAATATCACCTCCTTTCTATTAACCTGTGTTCTTTGACATTTGGGCACACACTTTATGAGCAACGTATACCTATGACCGACATACAAAACACATTTTCACCTTGTCGCCCGGTATATTATAGTAGAAAACATCTCCCTCTGCGGCATTGCGCACATAAACTTCACTACGCAAACAAAAATAATTTCATTACAGTGCTGGCCGCTTCTACTTATATTCTAGATTTTTCCCCTGTTTCATATACATGAATTTTTCACAATATTCTCCGCTGGCGCACCTGAACAATTTTAATTCAAATTTTACTGGTAGTGGTAAAAGAGAAAGGAAGGAAAATCTTATGCTACGTGCACGCTATGCTTTTCTGTTTCAAAACTGGGACAGGCTCCTCGCGAAGGTAATCTTATCTTGACACTGCCGCACCGTGCCCCACTAGTTGTCCCATTTTTCTAATAATTGTTGAACAGGGTTGTCGGGTTATCATCAGCCTTGTACATGTATACTTGCTTTGACAATTAGTGAGAATGGGATATATTCCAAAATTCTTGTTCAGATGATATACAGGTGTTTCATATGTGACTATCACAATCGGAATCTCGGAAACGGTCAGAGATATGAGGTCTGTTAAATAGGGGCAAAGTCTCGCATTTTTGTTATAAGCTGCCATTTTTAAGGACAACTACAAAACAGTTTTTGTTAAATAATTAAACTTCAGCAATGCCAAAATATGACAAAATATACATTGTTTGCATCAACATTAAATGTTTACTCGCATGTGCAAAAATCAAATATGGCGACCATAAGAATAAAACAAAATTGATGATTGGAAATAAAAGATGAAATGTCGTTGAAATACTAATTATACCACTAATTTGCACCATGAAGTTACTTCTGTGGATAAAGTGTTATGGTATCTGGACCAATCGGCTTAATGGCTAACATAAAAAAGATACAGTAAAATTTTTCTGCAAATCAATTGAGTATTGACACTTGGTAACTTGGCAACCATGTAGCTAGTCGTAAAGGTCATACTGTTTGGCGCGACACGGCTGCGGGTGGTTTGATTTTATTTCATATAAGAGCAACGAGGTCGAAATAATAAATTTCCGTGTTCTTCTAGTCTAGCTGGCTATGGCCATGTTTCCGCTCCCGAACCGACCAGCTTATCCATTATTCATTCGGTTATTATTCCCAAAGTCCCAAAACCACGGAAGGCCATATACATATCACGTGGATTGAGTTTTTTATGCCCTTAAGGTTGATAAGGGTACTACGACTTGATGCTATGTTTTGATTCTGATAACTAAATTTTTGAGAGAAGAAAATACCGAGTAATAGATGTACGAAGTATCTTTCAATAAAATGTTCAACTAATGTGATTCTGCGTAGGCCATGTTCTAGTGTGACTAAAGAAAACATTGCCAAAGTTCAGTGGCTAATTGAAGAAGATTCTTGCTGCTCATTTGCGACTATAGAGGCAACTCTTGGGGTAGGATCCGCAACAGTGCACACCATTTTGCATGATCATCTTCATTCAAAAAAAGTTGCTGCGAGATGGGTGCCACTTCAGCTTACTGATTTCCAAAAGAAGGAGCGTGCTAGGAATAGTCGGAAAACATTGGAAATGTTAAACAATGGCTGTCGTCGTATTCTTTAAAAAATAATAACAGGTGATGAAACCTTTATACCGTGTTATGACGTTTCTACACGTCAGAAAAGCCGTGTGTGGATTCAAGAAGATGACCCTACACCAACAATGGTAAAGAAGCAGAGAGCCATGAGAAAAATCATGTACGCCGTTTTCTCTCGCAGCACTGGCTTAGTGAAAGCAATTAAGCTGGACGAACAGCGTACAGTTACGGCAAATTGGTACGTCAACAGATGTTTGCCAGAAGTTCTCGAAGCTGTGAATGTTAGAGGTGCAATCCTCATCACGACAATGCCTCTAGCCACACTGCTCAACTAACTAACTAAAATGCTAGAACATCCGCCATATTCTCCAGATTTGGCAATGTGTGGCTTCTGGCTCTTCAACAATTCGAAAAAGAATCTGCGTGTTCGAAAATTTCCGTCCGAAGAGGAAATCGATCAAGCAATTCAGTTTGTTGAAGGCATTCCAAAAACTGACTGGTTAGAAGCATTTCAGTTGTGGAAGGTCAGGCTACAGAAGTGCATTGATGCTGGAGGAGAATACCTTGAACATAAATAAACTAGGTTTCGAAAAATAGTTGGCTCTCTTCCTGGGTGTGGTCTGGTACATGGGAAGTATGGTTAGTGAAATTAATATTTTATTTTATATTTAGGTTCGTGCATCTTAAATAAATTCCAACGACGCTATGATTTGAACCAACCCTAAGCACTAAATCTATTTTTGAAATGTCAAGCAAACAGGTACGTCATTTGTGTCAGTATTTCAGTCAGTTCTTATAAACGGAACAATATTTTCGTAATGGATAACAGCAAACTTAGCTTCTAGAAAAAATATATAATCGAAAATGTCGAGGCACTATACCGCTTATCAGTATGAAGCAGCCTACAGACCTCAAGCTCTGAGAAACTGGGAGGTACCAAAGTTTCACTGCAATAGACCGATCTCAAGGCATGGCCGAACCAGTATCATCGCAAATTCTAGAGGGCATCTGTTGCCTGGGGTGTTTAGACCGTCTAGCAGCCCCTGGGGAAGTTATTTGGGTACGTGATAATGTATGCAATGCTTGATTAGGGATACTACTAGAATCCCTTCTAATATTTTAAAAAATACTGTGAATATAGTTGTCCATGACGGGTAACTTCATGGGTAGCTTCCTTTATTTATGTTGATTATTCATAATCAAGGTAAAAGTCTAGCTCTACTAAAATAGCCATATGCTTCTCCTCTTCTGCACCACTGAATATCCGTGGACCCTATTTTTTGAGATATAGACGATAAAATTAAAAACAGTACTAGAAAATGTGTATTTCCGAAATTATATTTCTTGTCGATGATTCTCAATTATACAACAATTTCAATATTGACAAAATCATAGTTCAGAATCTCAAATAAGTGAGGATTTAAGTCTACTGATAATTACGCAAAAAGTCATAACGTCCGTTTGAATCCCACAAAATCAAATGTTATCATATTTTCTCACAAAAAATTAAGGGAATATATTAAAAGGAATACAAACATATATCTGGATGGCAAAGTCATTCAGGTACATGAATCAGACAATAATTTTATATATATTTTTCACGACGAGGGTCTAATTTTCATTCCAAATGTGAATCGTATTTGTTATCTGTCAGTACTTCGCCGGTTATAACACAATAAACAAATTTGAGACCACAAACCTAAGAAAATTCTATGTGAATCGATGATCGTTTCAAAACTCACATTTTGCGAGATTGTTTACCGTTCATTTTTAGATTCGGTATCTATAAAGGGTTAACAAAAAATGCAAAGTAAATACTTGCTGCAGATTAGTAGGAAACTTAAAAAAGTACGACCATATTGGTTGAACGTTACCAAATTATATAAATATTACCTTATTATGTTAAGCTCATGAACTCCAAATTACCTCATTACCTTTGTTTTCAAAGGAAAAGCTAGTAAATCGTAGGTGTGTTTATTCTACTATGCCCATCCACAGAAATTCATTTTCCATAAAGGCATCACTTTTAATGCGATCTATCTTATCTCATAACCCTCTGAAATTAGACCTTTGACATTTGATAACTTTAAAAACATACAAAAAATCTCTTTTCATAGCGCCAAAACTAAAATACGTATCTTTAACTTCTGCTAATAAAAATAGTATGTTTTCGTTTATCAAGGTAATTAGATTAAATATTTTTAATTCTTTTGTTATAGTATCAGTTTGTATTTATTTTTGTAGGGGTTAAGTGGAGGAATAGCTTGTTAAGCTTCGCAAAATAAAAAGACTTTTATTATTATTATTATTATTATTATTATCATCATCATCATTATTATTACGAAAATTAATTTTAAAAATATATACCGATGGAATGGGATCAAAAGAAACAATCTACATTCTGACGAAACAACTGTATAGTAGTTTTTCGAGTACTCAAAAAATTGGCCAAACTGTATCGCATTGAAAAATTCTTAAAATACCTTTATCCAAAACAGCTCTTCAGCAACTTCCTGTCTCAACTCTGAGAAAAAGGCCGGTGGATCTAAAGTGCTTCACCCGATCAAGAAAAAAATACTTGTCATCATTCTAGGAACCTGGGAGATGCCAAAATACATCGACAAACATACAGCACACATCCTGAATGGTACTATAGAAGGTAAAGAGAAAGTTAGGAAGTGCAAGCTGAGACTGAGCCAGTTATATCAACCCAAGAAAGAGGCTTCTGTCGCAAAGACGCCACAGCAAGAACCCGAACCTCATGCACCTGTTGCAGAAAAGAAACCCTCCGCGTCTAAAATAGCTGAACAGTTTGATTCCAAGGTACAAGTTTTTGAAAAAGTTGGTTCCAAAGCAGATGTTGTAGAAAAGGTAGATTCCAAAGAACAGATTGCTGAAAAATCTGTAGAAGATGTAGAAGTTCCACAAGAACCACCCGTAAAATCAAAGAAAGCTCTCTGTCCCATTCATGATCTTTACGATGCTGGAATTAAAGGGTAATCAGTGTAAAAAGGGATGACTATATAAAATCCTTATGGTGTTAGTTGTTGAATATTATATGGGATAGGTACTGTTACGGTACCGCATACAACTTGTTTATATCCTACCTTTGCTACGCTTATATCCGGACCATCATCTCTTAATCCTAGTTGTGATGATGATTATTTCTCTCTCAGAAGTTTGACATGTGCGAGGGGAAGCAAGTGTAAATCTCATTTCGAAGGAGCTCCGCAAGGTGCGTCCACGTAGCGGGGTCAAGTCTACAGACTTAGCCTTATGACTAGACACGCGCAAGGTAATTGACACATCTCACGATTGGCATACCAAATGCCGTGTCACTTTAAAACAGGCCTCATATTATTGTAATGGGTGATTTTTACGACTTTTTTCAAGTTGGCAGCACTGATATGTAGTGGCGTCCAAGCGTCATCTGTCAAAGTCAAAATTGTTCAGTATACTATGTCATTTCATCATGAATAGACTTACAAGCGAACAAAATTCGTGCTCTGTGAAAAATGTGTTTCGCCTGTTACGGCCATTTTATGGTCGTCAAAATCGACCTAGTGAAACCACAATTATTAGAGGTGATATAACCAAATTTCGCACCAAATTTACTTTATTGGACGTTAAGGTCGTGAAATATCCATTCGGCGCAGATGTCAACACTTGGGAATGTGTTACTCCACCGCCTGGAAAACTTTACGTGTCGACTTGGGTTTTAAGGCTTACAAAATTCAAATTGTGCAACAATTGAAGCCAAATGACTTACCACAACGTCGAATTTTTAGTGAATGGGCCTTACAACAGCTCTAAGAAGATCCGCTGTCTTATCGCTCACTTTTCGCTAAGTGGATATGTTAACAAGCACAATTACCACATCTGGTGTAATGAGCAGCCACATGCTATTCAAGAATTGCCCACGCATCCAGAAAACACAACAGTCCGGTGTGGTTTATGGGCTGGTGGAATTATCCGGTATTTCTTTACAGACGACTTCGGACGAAACGTTACCGTCAACGGCGAACGATATCGATCCATGATCCATAACTTTTTATTGCCCAAATTGGATGATCTGAACTTGGTTGACATGTGGTTTCAACAATACGGCGCCACATGTCACACAGCACGTGAAACAATGGACATTTTAAGGAATGAATTTGGAGAGCAATTTATCTCTCGTTTTGGCCCTGTAATCTGGCCAAGATCATGCAACTTGACGCCTCTGGACTATTTTTTATGGGGCTACGTAAACTCGTTGGTGTATATGGACAAGCCCAACACTATTGAAGCCTTACAAGACAACATAACACGTGTTATTGATGGAATTCAGGCCGAAATGCTGGAAAAGTGAAAAATTGGTCGATAGGAAGGACCATTTGAAACGTAGCCGTGGTCAACAAGTGCATGAAGTAGTCTTTGAAAATTAAATGGCAAGAACCAGTTTATCGATTCCAATAAAGATTTTGTATACATAATGCATTTTTAGCTGTTTTATTCAAGTTTTGAAAAGAAGGCTCTTAAAAAATCACCCGTTATAATATCTGTTGTTGGATTTAAATTATTAAAAAATTACCGAAATATGTAAATAGAGTACATATTTATTTTTTCTGTGATATAATAAATTTAGGGTATAACTTACAAGGCGTTGTATTTGCTAAGAAACAAGGAATTGAAGACGCTGAACCTGGCCTTGGTACGTTGAGATCCTAAGGGCCGTATCGTCAGTCGTTCCTACAATTGTATAGTTGTTGTCACCGTTCTTGGCGGGTCAAAGTAAGACTACTAGTATCCCTTTATATATCTCCATCTCCCTCATACATACACATGCAACCTGCCCCTGTGAGTGAATGTTTGTTTAGTGAGCTCAAAAGGTTTTTTTGGTTTTGTTTCTCCGTCTCGAAAACTTTGTCGTTACGTATTCATATTGTCAGAGTGACAACTTACTTAAAATTGGCGTGCAATTCGAGTTCTCCTGTTATCAATCTTCCATATAAAATTGTACAATGCCCGGGACTACGATGAATGGAGTAGGCCAGCAGCTCGTCCTAAATTTATTAGAGTATCTCCAGAAAGAGAATGAAGGCAGCGGTCCGCTGTTACCCACTTCGTGCGTACTGGAGAGAGTAGCAGATGTGCTGAAGATTAGTCTACGCAGTGTTCCGCCCATGTTACGGAGACTCGATCTGTTTACTTATTTCATATGGCGCTGATGACGTAACGGCCAAGAACGATGAGTACAGCTATTATAGGATGCCTTTATGGCCTCCTTGATTTTCATAGTCTTTCCTCTTCTTCAGAAAGGCTGGGATATTTCTAGATTTTCACTGTTCTCTGTTAGCCTCAGCATTCTCCTATTGTCAGGCTACGTTTTCAACTGGAAATTTCAGGCTATACAGGGTGTTTCAGTTTATTGTTCCATAACTTTAAGAATCGATAGAACTTTTAAAATTAATGCATAAAGTCTATATAAACATGGGTCGAAAAATGCGTGGCTTCCTAAATACAGGGTGTTTAAATTTACTTTCTAAAATAGTTTTTTTTAAATATTTCGAACAATATTTGATGTATAACACTGGTTTTTTGGTACGACAAAACGAACCATGGGCATAGTTTTACTGTAGCCGCTAGAGGGCGCTCTCTACTGTACTGTAGTGTATTAAAATGACCGAAAAATTTTTCTTAGTGCAACTTTTTGAATAAAAAAACGGATTCTTCGCACTTTTCAACATAAAAAAGCTTACCTGTGAGTTTTCGTTATAGTTAGCCGCTTTTGAGATATTTCGATTTTTAAGGTTCGATGCATTTTTAATTATTTATGGGAAAATAATATTTTTTTTACATTTTCGATTTGGGCATTACAAGTAATTAAGATGATCGTTTAGATTGTGTTTTTAAACACAGAAATAATTCCTAACTCCAAATAAACACAAAAAAACAATATTAATTTTAACAAATTAAATTAATTATTTACAACTAAAATGCTATTGGATAGTTAAGACAAACATACAAAATCTAAAGTAGTTGCTCGAAATGTAAACCCAATTGTTCAATACACAATTCACATCTACGAATGATCGAACGTGGTATAGCATTATTCAAATAAGGCCTTATTTCATCACATGCATTCCTGATTCTGTATATTAGCATATCTCTTGTGGTTACGGGAGTCTTATTACACTTTTTCTTTTAGAAATCCCCACACCAAGAAATCTAATGGATTTAGGTCAGGGGATCGTGGAGGCCAGGCGACTGGTCCTCCACGGCCGATCCATCTTTCTGGATAATTTTCGTCCAGCCAGTTTCTAACTATTCTCGAATAATGAGCTGGATAACCATCAAGCTGGAACCAGGCCAATCTTCTTAAATCTAACATAACATCATCCCACATATTTGTATGTTCAGCCTTTAAAAATTCCAAGAAGGTCGCAGGATTTAACCTTGCAGGCAAAAGGTAGGGTCCAAATAGTCGATTACAGTAGATACCAATCCACACGTTCACACTAAATTCATGCTGAAAATTTCTTTCCCGAACTGCATGCGGATTTTCATGCGACCAAATATGTTTAAGAAAATTTACCACTCCACTTCTAGTGAAGCATGACTCATCGGTCCATAAAACGTTACTTAAAAACTTCCTATTATTATCAGTTCTATCAAGAATCCACTGACAAAATGTGATTCTTCGTTCTCCGTCCCCTGGCTGTAGTCCTTGCACAGGTTGCAAATGGTAACGACGTCTATGGTCGTTTCTAAGAACACGGTGAACATGGCTTGCTGAAATTCCCAAGGCACCAGAAATTCTCCTAACGCTTGTGGTCGGATCTCTATCAAACTCACGCAGAATCATACGGGAAAATCTGCGCTGACGAACATTTATGTTTTGATCCCTTTGGAGATTTCCACAACCATTTTCAATTATTTGGCGATGCACTCTTACAAATACTGAGCGAGTTGGATGTCGTCTGTTTGGAAATCTTCGTGCGTATTCTCTGACTGCTTCTGCTGCGTTTCCATTTACAAAGCCATACACAAAATGAATATCCGCTAACTCTTCATTGGAGAATAAAAATGGCATTTTTATAAAACTTACAAAAAAAACAGGTAAAATAAACTAAATTTCGTGCATTCACAGTTGCAAAAAAACGTTTCAGGTTTTAACAGACAACAAAACTAACTGTCAACTAATTGACGTTTAACCTTATTCTGCATTCAATTTCAAAAATATTTGCAGGCACAGGCTACTTATAAAATTTATCGAGATACTGACTTTTTAACGTTATTTTATCATAAGTAATTAAAAATGAATCGAACCTTAAAAATCGAAATATCTCAAAAACGGTTAACAATAACGAAAATTCACAAGAGAGCTTATTTATGTTAAAAAGTGCGAAGAATCAGTTTTTTATTCAAAAAGCAAAAAATTGCACTAAGAAAAAATTTTCGGTCATTTTAATACACTACAGGTACAGTAGAGAGCGCCCTCTAGTGGCTACAGTAAAACTATGCCCATGGTTCGTTTTGTCGTATTAAATAACTCTTGTATACCAATTTTCACTGTTACACATCAAATATTGTTCGAAATATTTAAAAAAAAACTATTTTAGAAAGTAAATTTAAACACCCTGTATTTTGGAAGCCACGCATTTTTCGACCCATGTTTATATAGACTTTATGCATTAATCTTAAAAGTTCTATCGAATCTCAAAGTTATGCAACAATAAACTGAAACATCCTGTATAAGAGATGTTATAAACCATAGTATGATCAATTTAATGCAAATAGATATTTTCTAACATAACGTCAAAATAGAACACGGAAGAGTAGACAACTATGAAAATCAAGGAGGCCATAAAGGCATCATACAACTGTAGGAACGACTGACCATACACAGTTTTGTAAAATGTTGATGAAACCGAGTTGATAACCCTTGAAATTCTAAGTTTCGAGTCACATAAATTGTTAAAGATATGATATTTCAATAAATATGAATGTTTGACTAAAAAACTAAAACAGGCGCAATCAATACATTTTGCTAGTTAATTGCCACCATTAATTGGCTAGTCAAACATTTGAATACTTAATTGAACATTGTGGATCTTAATAAAAAACAAAAAAGTAAAAAGAGTCGAGTCCAGTCCTGTATTTTTCAACCACCCTTCCAGTTTTTTACTTCTGGGTAATTTTTTAATCGTTATTTCAACAAAATCATTTCGATAGCTCCTGAGATATGTGATATCAAAGATTTGGCGTGTTTAGATACATCACCCTTTCTATCCGTAAGAAACAGAATGTAGAACTTTTTTATCTTCAGATATGAAAAGGTCTCGGTCCATGCTACCTACCATTTCACTATGTCCATTTTATTACG